ATCCCTCCCAGATCCCCCCCAATCTCCTGGATCCCTCCCAGATCCCCTCCAAACTGCCGAATCCTCCGAACTCCCAGATCCCCCCTGCTCAAGATCCCCCCGAACTCCCGGATCCCCCCGGATCCCAGCGGATCCCCCTGGATCCTGGGGATCCCCCCACCCCACGTACTGGGGACGTAGATCTCGGCCCGCTGCTCGTCGGGGAGCTCGCTCCAGTTCCTCTTGCCCGTGGCCACGCACGGCTTCTTCACCAGGAAGGCACGAGGCATGGCCCCCCACCGGATCCCTGGACCCACTGGATCCCCCAGCACCAGATCCCAGAGCCTCGAGGGCTTTCGGTGCCCGAGTCCTGGCTGGGTGGCAGGGGAGAGATCCTGGAGCCTTCCCTAGGGCAGGTTCGGCCCCGGATCCCCCGATCCCTGGGTGGTTTGGGGGCTGGATCCCAGATCCCTGATCAGTTTGGGGGCTGGATCCCCAATCTCTGGGCGATTTGGGGGCTGGATCCCAGATCCTTGAGTGGTTTGGGTGCTGGATACCAGATCCCTGGGTGGTCTAGGTGCTGGATCCCTGATCCCTGGGTGTTTTGGGTGCTGGATCCCTGATCCCTGGACGGTCTGGGTGCTGGATCCCCAATCTCTGGACGATTTGGGGGCTGGATCCCCAATCTCTGGACGATTTGGGTGCTGGATCCCCGATCCCTGGGCAGTCTGGGTGCTGGATCCTAGATCCCTGGGCGGTCTAGGTGCTGGATCCCCAATCCCTGGGTGGTTTGGGGGCTGGATCCCCGATTCCTGATCAGTTTGGGGGCTGGATCCCCAATCTCTGGACGATTTGGATGCTGGATCCCCAATCCCTGGGTATTTTGGATGCTGGATCCCCGATCCCTGGGCAGTCTGGGTGCTGGATCCCCAATCTCTGGACGATTTGGATGCTGGATCCCCAATCCCTGGGTATTTTGGATGCTGGATCCCCGATCCCTGGGCAGTCTGGGGGCCGGATCACGACCCTTCAGTCGACGCCAGCAGCAGATCCCGGACCCTCGGTCGGGTTTGGTGCCGAGATCCCAGATCCCTGCTCCACTTTAGGGCCAGATCCCAGGGGCCAGATCGACACCGGGGCTGGATCCCCAACTCACGGTCGGTTCCGGTGCCGGATCCCAGATCCCAGATCCCAGATCCCAGCTGGAGATTTTTTTGGCACAAGATCCCCAGGATTCGGTCGATTCCCGGCGGGTTTCGCGCTGGATCCCAGCTCGATCCCTTCAGTCCATCCCCACCCCAAGATCCGGGG